AGGTGAAGGGTCTGGTATGTGAAAGCCGAGCACCTTGTTTGCCGTATGAAGTTTGTGTGAACACTCTACGATAGGTTCAGTTGGTAACACTAGTCACCTTACTCACTCGATGAGACGCTTATACAAATGTTTGGACAAGGCCAAGGGCGACATCGAACATAAAATGTGCCGCGAGGGTTATTTAGAACAGGTGCCTCTAATCAAGTGCAACTTGCGGTTGATTTTCATATGCTAAAACCTCGTTGCCTCTCACTTCTAATTCTTCCCTGTCTTGGTGCGTGCCATATGCCGTTTATCGTACGCCATGCATGAAATTAGTGACATGCATAGATAGCTAAATACAACAGAAAAGGCTGCAGCTGTGTAAATAGTTGTCGGCTGACGAAGCATCTTGATACCATTTCCTTTTTTAGCCTCACGTTACTTCAAGATTTTACTTCATCAGTGTTGCTGAAAAATGCCTTGCTCAGTCCCACTGCCCACTTTTTGGGTGTAATTGCAAAAGTTCTAATTCTAATTCTTCTGATTATCTGTGGATTGAATCTTGCTCAAGCCAAGCCAGTCCTTCGCTGCAGTCATTTTGAGGTTTGTACGAAAAGGACACAAAGCGGCTTCTCCCGTGCTCTGGGGCCTTATGCTATACTTCCCCTCGAGGGGGAGTTATCCCCAGGAAACCTCTTCTGTATGCCGTTATCTCTACCAATGCCCATCGCCTCTCTGCATCTCTGTTCCCCAGTCACCCGGAATCTCCCCCCCCCAACGGCATGTGTTGGGGGAGAGGGGAAGAGATCGATTATTCTCTGCGCTGTACTATATTCGCTCAGAGCGTGCGCCAGAAGAGTATGGATGCAGAGCGGCGAGAGCCAGAGAGAAGAGGCATCAGCAGAGATAAGGGCAGGGAGTGAGGATAACTAGGGAATATCTCCCCTTGAGGGCATACGGCGCCGGAGTGCGGTGCCTGCAGCAGTCGGTTGGAGCGGCGTTCGTCGGTCCATCACTTTTCATAAATGTTCTAAGTATGCCTTACCCCAACGTCTGTGCGAGGTGTGGTGACTTACTGAGTCCTCATTCTCCAGCTCTTTCATGAGGATCAATACACTGTCCCGAATACCGATTAAGCCACTAGCATAATGGGGTGGAGGTCCACTTGGCCGCGCCTCTGTATCTCCCTAAACAGGCTAGGCGTAAAGCGCAGACTACCATAGTCGCCGCAAGGTAATCCCGCAGAGAAGACATAATCTTACCTAAAGCTAAGCCTGGAAAGGACATGGTGGCGATGACGAGTAGTCCCCTCTTAACTACCATAGCATCCCGAATAAATCAATAGATCTAAACGGCGAATGCTCATTAGAAGCTTTCTCAGTTCCCACGAGATAAAGTTGAATACGTTGAACTACAAGCGTTATAAAGAATATAAAGTTTATTTGAAATAATCTCTTCCATGGCTACGATTATGAGACATATGTCAATAGGTGTATTCAGCCTTGAAGTTCTTTGCCATCACTCCATGCTGGTTGTTGGCAACGCATGCATACACTCCTTGATCACCCATCGTTGCTGGATCTAAATTATAATTTTCAATAACGATTGTAGTCGTAACAATTTGTGCTAAACTTTTGCATTCGTCATGCCATAGTTTCTATAGTCTAAGAGAAAGCTGGAGTATTGGTCCAAAAAAGGGATGACGTGAGAGGGGTTAACTGTGAACTTGGTTATGGAAACAATCAACTGTAAAGTACCATGTTGGGTGAAGAGCAGTCATTTTCCAAGTGGGTCTAAAATGGAGTATGTCGGGTTACGTGAGTTTTTTCGACAAAGGAGACAACTACTACAAAGCAATGAACCCGACAATGGGAAGCAACGGGATTGCCAAATGCTACATTCCCCGTTGCTGAATTGCGCTTCGTTTTTCTTAATTATGTCCAAATAGGAAATACTCTATTCAAAAATATATCAAAATAAAATATCAGGTGCGGGCCGGGAGATCCGATTTGCGGCGGTGCAGCGAAAGCAGCCCAAAGTGGCGTCACGCGCGTCAGAACCGTCGCATACGAATATGTCATACCAAGCCTAGTCATACGGTTGTGAAGCGCTACTTCTCAGTTGCAGCATTGCGCACAAAACTCGTGCCTCGAATGGGAATCGCATAAAATGAAGGACTTAAAGACACATTTCGTGTTTACGGTTTGTGAGCTTTGGGGTCGGCATACGCATTCTTAGTGTCAGAGGGCTCAATAGTGAAGAAAAGAGAGAGTGATTCACCGACGACCCATAAAGGCTCCGTGATGCGAGAGATTCTTGAATTAGCGAAACAAAGAGTCAAAAGCATGAAAGAAACTGTCCTCCTTACAAATACACGTTCAGCTTCGATTAACTTCTGTCTACGATCTTACCTATTTCCAACTTGCTCCAGAGCATATCTTCACCGAGTGGTTTCTCGTAGTACTGAAAGTAGAACTGTAATTCGTAAGGAGTAGGGTACAAAAGTGTTTAAAAAGAGCATACGTGAGTGTTATGCTTTGGATGAAGTTCAGCGCCTTCTTTATACCATTTTATGGTTGGTCGTGGATCTCCTTTTGCTTTACAAATAATAATTAACTTGTATCCGAGACGAAATGTCTGACTGAAGTGTGAACCAGTAACAATGTGAGCACTCTGGAAGGATAATTACGTCTTGAAGTTTTTATTCTGAGTTGTT